GGCGTAAAAGCGGTCGGCTTCAAGAACGTAATGGATGACGACAAGAGGCCGAATGGAACTCACGTGAAAGTTTCCAATGCCAAAGAATACAAGCCACTGCCGAATACAGAATCCAAGGACTTAATGAATGATAAAAAAGTTCACATAAAAGGTACTCTAATCTATTTTGATTTGTAGATAGAAAATATACGGAAAAACTTGATATCAAAATAGAACTCTTTTCTCCTTCCAATTTCGTATCAAATAGTAAAAATTTAAAGTTATTTCTATCTTATCTATAAAATATTTAATACGTTACTCATTATATCAATATTGCATGCAATGTTCGTAAAAAAAGAACAGTTATCTTTTATTTAAATATTTTTGAAAATAAAAGATATAAAGATGTATAAGAATGTGGAAGAAGTTTTCCATAAAATTTTGCTTATTTATCAAGATTCAATCAATATTTGTATTTTTGTGTGCATTACAGCAGAAGAAGAACCAGAAAAAAAGGAGCTCCTAGGGGTAAATACAGGCATCGTCATTAAACCTGTGAAACCAAACCCATTCGTAAAGATTTTTTCTTTTTTTAAAAGATGCATATTTAGCTTGGTCAAGCTTGCAAAAGGGCTTTGCATGCAGTTGTTGTCAATTTATTGTATTCGCATCCACGTTTTATGTGACGTATTTCTATTGACAAACACATTAAATCCATAAAGTAAAAATAAACTGACTGAATCGCTTCTTCAAAGCATATTGTCTTTTTTTGCATCTGACTTCGCACTATATTCACAATTCTTTAACTATCAACATGTTGCATTATAAAGAAATATACAAGCATTATAAATCAGGATATAATTTTCATTATCATTTTCAGTCTAATTTCTCAAATATAATTTATTCACACACAAATCCATGCTTTTTTCGCAATGCCGAATAAACATAGCATAATATTGTCTATATCGTCTATATAATTTAAGAAATCATTATAAGCATTTTATTTTTCTCCACCAGTCAATGGAAGATCTAAGAGAAGAACCCGAACTAGAAGAACGCGAGGAAGAAGAGGAGGAAGAAGAAGAGGAAGAGGACACCCAGGAGCCGGAGGTAGACGAGAACAAAGATCAACCACAGGGACATCAGCAAGAGGAACAAAAGGATACGAGTAATGATCAAGATGGCGAGCTTCTCGTTATGCCGGTAAGAAATAAGACGGCAAGGAGAGCTTCCTTGACTGACGAATTGGACCCAGACGAAACGCAGGCCCTCCTCGAGACGAACTTTTCCGTGACGGGTTTGAATGAGATCAAAACCGAGCGTATAATACCGAGAGTAAATAACACCACGAAAAATACTACGCCGAAGAGACCGATGAGTCTCGATCTCAATGCGCCGATTAAGTTCAGAAAATTGCGCGGAGCTCGGCCCGAAAAAGTCACGGTGAAGTTAATCAATGGTGACGAAGCGAGTCTCCAGTCTCGAGGCAAAGGCCATGTCGACGTCGCGTCCACGAACAAGAACAATTGATGATTAAATTGACTCTGACGACAATAATTAATACGTTCAAAAATAATTGCGTGGATTCGACTATTGTAAATATCACGTGAAGCGATCATTTTTAAACGACAATCACGTATACATGTATATTTTAAGACAATATAGCTACAGTATGAGTGTGGTTCAAATGTAACATGGCTAATAGTCAAAGGTGTTTAACTCAAAATTTTTAATATTTATTTAAATGGAAAATTTGTAAGTTAGGCACTTATAACACTTAGCCATTCATAACTAGTTTTAGCACGCATAATTATTCGCTCAAAATCACATTTTACGTGTAGAATCGATAAAAGCTCATTATTAAAAAATAAAATAATATATAACGCGTTTATCTAATGATGAAAAATGACAACCGGTCAATACAGATTCAGCAAAATGCTTGTATTGCTTTGAAATTGTCAATGTGAACATTAATTTCTTATTGCAAACGTTTTACTTATTAAATTTTATGAATTAGTTACATATAAATCAGTGTATACATTTGACTCAAAGTCTAGATCATAGCCACATTTGGAGAGAGAAAGACATTCGAGTAATGTAAAGCTAGCTTGCAATCAAGCATCTATTTTTTCTTATGTAGCATGTCATCAGTATTTTCCCAGTATTGATTAGCTGTAGAAGAAACCATACGTACTTAGCTCGAACAAAATATTATTTTAAGACTCTAGTGCCTATAAAACAACTTGATAACAAGATAAAAGCAATGTTGATTAAATTTACAACGAATATGTCGAGATAAAGAGATAATAAAGAGACTCATTTATTTGAGATAAAGAAACAGAATCACGTAGTTATATTTTTAAAAGAATTAAAATGAAATATTATTTTATCAGTTAAAGGCATTCGTGTATTTTTATGTTACTATTATATATCTGATACCACGCAATTAACTACAAAAAGTCACTATAGCATAGATTTATGTTATTGTCATTGTGATGACCGCGGTGCACACCAAAAAAACAAACTATTCAGATTAATAAAATTATACTGAATAAATATTCTGAATGCGAATTTAAATCTTCAAAAACTTATTTTTAATATGTATAATAATTTATAGTTTGCCTTATGTGTGCACCCGCGCGTCTGTTTAGTTTGATTTCGCTGCTTCGTGTAATCGTACAAAATGTGGCGTCTGTGTGCTTTTGGTGGCGATCACACAAAATAATCATGCGATAAAATTCACAAAGCATATCGCGCAAACCGATATCATCCACAATCCAATCTAATACCTCAGACTTTAAATATATCAGATGTACTTTCAGCACAGGGATTGGTCTAATGTTGAGGAGAGCGTTATACCGTTAGACTCCATTTTAAAACCTGATGAAACGGAAACATCTTGCGAATAGAGGTACAATGTGTCTTGCACGTCGATAATAATTTATACGAATATTAATTCGATCGCATCGTGGCTCGCATCTTTCGCAGCCTTCATCCCTCTCTGAATCGCAAGATTTAATCTACTTTATTTTATTTATAATATATTATACTTATATAAATTTATTTCCTCGAATGCATTGACAATTAACAAGAAATTCCCTGATTAAATACTTATAAATTGAGCACAAACAAACGCACATGTAATCATAAAGTAATTACAATGTTGCAATTATTTTATAGCTACATACAAGTAAAATATAATTATTGATATATATAAAAAATTATAATTTAGTTATATATATTAAAAAATATTTTGTCACAATTGAAATTAATACGTAAAGTTTTATTATCTCGAAATTTTAATCAGTGGACTGTTTATATTTTACGATTTTTTACACTTTTGGCAATTTCTGCATTTTTATTTACGCCGTTTTCTTTTAAATATTTATTAACTATATTAACAGTTTATATTATAAACTTTATAAGATCATAACTTGCGAATGAAAGAGATATTTGCGTGTTCGAATGTATCTTCCTTTCGATACAAACGTTACGATGCATTCCATTCGAAATAAGAAAATTGATATTCTTCTGAAGAAATTAGCAGTTCTTAATCATCAATCCGTGAGTCTCGAGATACATTTTATAGCATGTTATATATAGACGAAAAATGACAGAGAAAATATATGATTTTTTCCATTAACTCGAGTTTGTTCCATCGCTATAACCATCTGTCACGCCTCTCCTACACCACCAAGCTTCTTCTCGCAAGTTCGTCGTCTTTCCTCACAATGAAATTTTCTAATCTGGGAATGAAAAAACGATTCGATAGGTTGTATTTTACACGTTAGTTATATGATTCATCTCTGTAAACAACGCATTTTATATATGACAAATTACTTTTTCTCTCGCTATTAGATGAGCATGTGCATGATGATCCGATATAATTTAATTTTTTTATTACTTGAGAAATTTATTAAAAATCCGAATAATCTCTTCGATCTCATACAGAATCTAACGAATAAAATTCAGAGAGTCTCTTGTTTAAATAATTTGATATAAATTCAGCTTTGGACGAAGAAATGTAATCGTCGCATATTGTATTGCAACAAATAAAATTATTTTCGCGCATTTGTATCGAGATCTGAGCACGCCGATGTCAATGCTTGATGTAAATTACAACCGGCGCTATTCCCAAGTTAAACTAATCATCGATTTAAGAACACTCCACGAAGACATCGATGAAGCCTTTTATTCCAACCTGCACGAGTTCATAGACAATGATTAACCCGAATTGCCTGATGAAACAGGTTTATTCGTGGCACGTGAAAAACATTCACTTCATTGCATGCACGCTTTGAGCTACAGAAACTTCTGAGGCTCTATGAGACAAGCCCATTCAAAGTGTCTGAGCGTGTTTTTGCTACGTACATGCACTAACCAGAAAGATTGAAGAAAATAGAATGAATCCATTATTTCGCCATTGTACGGCGAGATATTGAGTATTTTAAAACCAACTTTCACTTATCGTTTAGGCGCCTGCGAACGGAGACGTTAGAAGACAATCGAAGATGCAAGGGAACTACTTAGGTCAGTAACACAAAGGAAACTTCCTCCTTTGACTTAAAAAATTCTAACAATACATGCATAATAATGTTTAAAATAGATTAATAATAATTTTTACACATGGTAATCTAAGACATATTTAAACACCTATTATTACAATGGCTGTGTTCAGCGAACTCAACTGTTGAGTCTACTGAACGTAGCCAATGATTTTTTTCATTACACAAAAAGTGTAATTATAAAATATAATTATAATTATGCTTTATTTTTGTTATGTCTTATTTATTACATCTCGCTACTTTAATCATTGCGAGAATAAATAAAATTTTAATTACTTTGTTTTTTTAAATAGTCATGAAATATTTTCTCCATAGAAAAAAGTCACATTTACATCACAATAAACTCACAATAAATAAATTGTGATATCACTGTGAGATTATTAATAAAAAAATTACAATGATATGTCACATATCTTGATCTGTATATGTCATAGTAGTATCATAATATGTGCAACTTTCATCAGTACTTAGCATACTTAGGCTGTGTTTCAAAATTTACTGCTAGTACTGAAAATCTATAGTACACGTGAAATAAACTAGAGACTTTCAGTACTGGCAGACAATTTTGAAACATAGTCTTAGTGTCATAGCGATATCATACTTGTGACAAAGCGAACATTTCTCATCATGACTTTGTTGTGATATTATTATGACTTACTTTTGTTACTATGGGGATTACATGTATATATAATTTCGAGAAAAATCTGCTTAATCGAGTAGAGTTAATTATGAAGATTATTTTATTTTAGCACCAGACAAGCCGATAACTTTCAATACGTCTTCTATCTTCTTGCCGGACGGCCAACGAACTTTCGGCAATCCACTGAGCTATCTTGGTGGTCCGATGTTACCACGCAGGAATAGATCCTCTATCGAATCAGTGTTATCATTAGATTGATCGTGGATTATCTATTTTCTTTAAAGAACTATTGTGAATATTCACAGGAACAACGAATCGTATTTCCCGATCAAATCGGAAAGTCTCGAACGTGTTGAGTGCCAAATTCATAAATATCATTATTTTTTTTATACACATGTTATTAAACAAAACAGATTAAAAGAAAAAAAGGAGAAAAACCGTGTTAGATTATCTAAACAGCATGAAAATCTAAAACATATCAGAAAAATATTTGTATATATTTGGAAAACATCTTTTTTATCTCTTTTGTATAATCGTTTGCTTTAATAATTGTTACAAAAATAAATATTTCGTGATTAATTAACTTAATTAAAGAATATATTTTATGCACTTAACACATTTGATATTTTCCATTTTCAGTTCATCTTTCATTATCACAGAGTTATCCGTTTCTCGAAAGGCTCGTGTTAATAGCTCGCACCGAGCTATAAGCTAAATAGTTTCATCAGAAAAGATTCGCTTGGACCAATATCGCGATCGGCGAATTTTACTCGTGACAAGACGTTATAGTTGCTAATAAGGATGTGAAAACGTGATAACGAGCTTAACAATATAGTAACTAGTGATCGTGACAAACTCGATACGGTCTCTTTGCAGCTAATAGAAAGCTGTTGTGCTCAAAGATGTATATCGTTCCATACAATCTCATGAGGGTGCTTGTAAAAAAATATCTTGTAAATCCGTAGGATAATAATTTCTGTATTGTTGTAAAGTGAGCTGATAAAAGTTTCTCCATTCTTAAAGAATCTCAAAATATAAAAAAAATCCACTCTTTCTTATAATATTTCCTAAAATTTTATCCTATTAAAGATTAATACGACGAACTTTCAAACTGCAGATGACTTTGATCAAATTCTTCGATTAGATATTAACTCTATTGATGATTAATTTAACTACTAGTAGAATCGCGCGCTCTTAAAGCAAAGTTTTTAACTATGTAATCCATTATTTCCGAATCAATATTCCATATATTAAATAGTAAAAAATTAATCATTTTATCCATGGGTTAATAAAATAGGGGTTTTTTTTAAATTGATAAATTTATTACTTTCATAAATTGCCGAAATTATCCTGAAATCGATTTCAATGAAACTTTGATTAATTTAATCTGTAATTAATTCAATCAATAAATATCTATTTGAATCAGAGTAACTTTAACCCCAATTTAACTTACTTTTTTCATCTGTTTCTAGTTCTAAGAATTGGAGAAAGATAATTAAGACCAAATTAAACAGATTAAAATTAATTAGAAATCCACATATGTCAATATAAAATGTATTAATAAAATATAATGGATACTGTTTGATAATCCAATCAATTATTAATCAGAGTTTATCAAAGTTGTCCTAAGTCCCATTCCTCATCCTAGTCAAGATTCAATCAATTCTCTGTACAGCGTTATGATAAACACATTATATTTATAAGTTTATAATTGCCTAATTATAAGTGGACACATTATAATGATGTAAAAACAGAATAAAAAACTATTATTACCATCACGAGAGATCGAAAGTGCACTGCAGCGGAACACAGTATTTAATAAGTCATATGAATAAAAATAATTTCTAGAGAACTTTTATCTCTCATTTCCACTAATTAATAAATTTACTTACTAGCGTCATTTCATCCGCCATTTTGCTTTAGTACATCATATTCGACCGAATGGCTGCGAAGCAAGAAGATTTATAAATGATCTCCAAAATTGATTTTCCTTCCTTTTTCTTCCTTCTTGGCTCATATTTCCGTCAGCCTAAAAAAAAATCCGAATATCATTTTTATTTGGAACAACAGAAAAAATGCAAGTAATTTCGCCGTTAAATTTAAATTTTTGTCAGCATTAAAGCCAAAAGAATAAAATTCGTTCTAAATGAAATTACATGCAAGAATTGTATCTCTCTCTCTCTCTCTCTCTATATATATATATATATATATATCCCTTTTTCCTCGGAATGTTTCGCGTCGGATCGCGATCATGAAAAAAAATCACGGAGCTCGAGAATGATCAGTGTCGATAATTGACAATACTAACGCTTGCTTATTGCTTTCCGAATCGTTGAAAGATGAATAGATCGCGCATGAAATTATCCGCCAACGGAATTATTTGTCAAGAAATTATACTGCACGAACAGATCGATCTTCACCGCACGCGTCTGACCGATCTTTATGACTTGAACTTCGCGATTGCGAAAATCGCAATTTCGAAGCACATATTTCAAATCCTACATAAACGACAGGAATGATGATAACTTCAGACAGCGCACAAGTAGCGTCGCGAGGTTGAGAACAGTTGAGAGCCCCGGGACACGTCACAATAATAAGCAACATGGCTGACCTTCGCGAGTATTGACAAGACGCGTGCTGCTGTTTACAAACTAGACAAGGAATCGATTATATCGATGAAGCTCTGACCCTATCGGGTCAGATTGTGCGATCTACTCTGTCATGGCACAAGCGAAACTCGATGTGCCGGAGAAATCTGGCGGAGGTATTAAAGAAAAGGACAAGGATTCTGAGGAAAAGGAAGGTACGTGCTTGTTATACACTGACATAAATCATTGTGTTGTCATCCCAATCAATAGTGTACTATGTAGTTTTAAATAAGAAGATCTACATGATTACTGTTTATATATTATAATAGCAATCGCATTATATATAACACATAACATTAATATAAAGTAGTATTATATATTATATTATTAGAATATAAAAAGAAAAAATATATAGTAATCATGTTTTTAGTTAATATTTATAACCAATTCTTATTTAAGACCGTCTTAAGTACAGTCTTAAGATGTCATGAATCAATCAAAAGACTGTATTAGCACCTTAATACATCACTTAAGATGGTCTCGAAATAATAACAGATTACAGCCAGTATTTACAGAGTCGATTCTTATTTTAAGATTATCTTAAGTAGTTTCTAAGATGCTAATATAGCCCTCTGATTGATTTGTGAGATCTTCGATGATATCTCAAGACTGTACTTAAGACAATCTTAAATATAAGAATTGACTATAGATATATATTGACCATGAGTATCAGCCTTATATTTTTTTTACATTGTACTTTATGGATTCTAGCAAGACACAGGTGATATAGTTTATTTAACACAATAGATTTGTTTTTTTATTGCTGCAGTAGACTGCATTAGAATCTTTTTTTTTGTTTTTACCAAATTTAAATCATGTACCTATTTTATTTTAAGTATAAAAAATATATACTAATTCAGCTTTAAAAACAGACTTACGCCTTTATTGTTTATCAATGTTAAATAAAGATGAAATGATTCACTGTAGGTACATTTTATTTGGTACTCACAGTGCTTATGAGCTACCATTTATCCTTGTTATTTAACAGTTGATAAACAATAAAGATAAAATAATTCCTGGAGCATTGTATACAGTAAATAAAACACAGCCTATGATATCATTGATTTCTTGCTGAAAAGCTTTTTATATAATAGTAACTGCATTGAATCTTTTGTTAATTAATAAAAAATTTCAATACTTTAATCTTATTTTTTGTATATATATTGATCTACGTGTTGCTTTTGTAGGCCCTACTGTCGTACCAGAATGTGCAGTATGCCTGCAACCTTGCATTCATCCAGCGCGATTACCCTGCAGTCATATATACTGCTATTTGTGTGTGAAGGGTGTTGCTAATCAGAGCAAACGATGTCCAATGTGTCGTCAAGAGATCCCGCCGGATTTTCTTGAGAGACCTCAGTTGGTGGAAGTGGAGGAGCCTCAGAAGGAGTTGGAACATCCCGAGGAAGAATACCAATGGTTTTACGAAGGCCGAAATGGTAAAATATTAATTTAATTAAAAATTACACTAAATTAAAATTGGTCAGCATTCAAAATCTGCAATTGTGTTGTCTTTTGATGGGAAATTCTTATAAATATCTCATTTATTGTTACATTTTATTTAAATTTCTCTAGTTTGCAAATTCTTTTAAAGCATTTATACATGGGCGCACAAAATTTGATATACTACCCCTTCTTAGGTTGGTGGAAATATGATCCGAGGACAAGCAATGATCTGGAGACTATTTACAAACTAGGGGACGCGCAATGCGAACTTTTGATCTGTGGCATGCTTTACGTAATTGACTTTGTAAACAAATGTCAATACAGAAAGTACAACCCACGTTATAAACGTAATATCAAACGTGATAGAAAAGATGCTCCGTGCAAGGGTGTCTCGGGTGTACGATAACACTTATAAAATATACAGTTTATTTGCTCGTGAAGATCCAATTTTAAGCATAATTAGTTTGATTCGTACGGATTTAAGCATAATATTTTACAGCATAATATTGAACTATGTTTATATATACAATATTGTATTAAAATTATATTCTACATTATACACAATGAAGCACGGGCGTATGTAGGGGGGGGGGGCTTCCTCCCCTAAATTTTGGCAAGAAGAAATAAATTGTAAAAATTATTGGCAGCGTTCAGCCAAAAATGCAGCTTTGCAACCGTTATAAAATTCTTTAATATGACTTATACATTTAGATTTAGTAAAAAACCTAATATCAAATTTGATTTGATGCATTTAGTGCACACTGGTGCACATTAAAGTTGTCGTACACAAATAAAGATATGTTTATAAATAAATATAAAAACCGGTTGAAATCGAATGAAATATTCGATACACTTTATTGTGCCATTAGGTAAAATATGTATTTTATAATTCGAAATATTTGTATTTCTCTATTACACTCAAATTAAATCAGTGTACAACGGCTTTAATATGCACCAGTGCGCACTACACTAGTGCATCCAATCGTCATAAGAACTAATGCATCTATTCATAATAAGAAAAGATTACTGATAATTTCTTACTTGGATTTTTTAATAACTTACTGAAACTAGGTCGCGAAAAGAAAGAAGCTGGAAGAAGGTATATTTTAATAAATTTGATGTGAAATTTTTGTTCCCCCTCCCCGACTGAAATTCTGCATACGCCCATTCAATGAAGCGCATTGTATAGGTAAAAACAATATTAGAAATAAAAATGGAATGTGTGCGCAAGAATTATGTATATATGCTAGTATATGAAGTATTAACAGTTTTAACAATTAAAAGAGTTAATGCTAATAATAATATATAACTAAGACGCTTAACATAAAAGAAATATATATTTCTTTTCAATAAAACTATATTCTACTAAAAATATGTTTCTTTTTATATTTTCCCAACTGCAGTTTTTTACATGTCTGTTAATTTACTTGTAATGACGCATGACCTTTATTCTCTTTCTTACGGTACATGGAACAAATGGCTTTTAAGTAAATTTTTGCAGGTTGGTGGCAATATGATCAGCGTACAAGTATCGAATTAGAAACGGCATATAAACAGGGTAAAAGGACCTGCGAGTTGTTGATTGCAGGATTTCTTTACATTGCCGACTTTGGTTCGATGCTCCAACTACGTAGAAATGATCCTTCTAGACGAAGGAGAATCAAAAGAGATCTATATAATGTTCCAAGAAAAGGAGTCGCTGGATTACGACTCAACGTACAGGACGAAGAGATTGTGAGAGAAATAAGGGGTGCAGAACGATCAGCTAGTCCTGCAAGTGATAGTATGGGTAAGATTGCAATAAGCGGAATAATAAAGAATACTTTCTAGTAAGAGACTCAGATAACACATTGTAAAGTCTGTATCAGATTAGAGATTGAGATTAAATTGGAACTTAACTAATCAGAAGAAAGAAAATTAATATCGAGTTCGGTGAACGTTACTTTAATTTTTCAAATTCTGATCTCAATCTCAATTTCTAGTCTGATGCTGGCTTCATACAATGAATCATTACATCTTTTGTTTGTCAATATTAAATAAAGATGAAATGATTTAATGTAAAGATCTTATAACAAAGTTTGACCACGAGCGATTTTGTCAAAATCCTATGAGAAAGTAGATATATATACTATTTCCCTCTGCATGCATATACTATTTTGCCCTTACTCTATAATTTTAATGAAGACTGCACAGTGAAACAATATAATTTAAAGTGAAATAGTAAAATATGTACTTTTTTATCTCTATAAGATTTTGACAAAATCGCTCAGACTCTGGTTTCGCTCAGATTTTGTTATAAAGTCTCTAATTTTTATTATGTCATCTGCGTCTCTTGTTAAAAAGCTCTCAAAATTGTTTATAAGCATATCTTCGGTCAAATGTGAATACTTTTATTTTATTTACAGGTACAGGAGATGGCACAAATACTCCTATACCACCTAGTAATACGCCACAGACACCTGCAGGTGGGACAGCGAGTGGTGACGCTACACCTTTAAACGATAGAGTAGATCAGAGGTCGGATTCCTTGCATCAAGTCCTAGAACAAATGCGCTCTTTAGTTTTAAGAGAGCATCTGTCCTTAAACAGTGATAATGAATTTGAAGAAGACACGGAAGACACGTCGATTTCGGATCATCCCACTCTTTCATAGCTACAAACATCGAATTTATATTTATCAGAGACCGTCGCAATCTTATTTCAGAATATCCAATTCATTTTCATATTTTTCGTATTGCTACTCAGTTCAATAAGATAGTATTCTATGTACACGCGCGCGCACACACACATACACACATCATATTTGCTAAAAGTTTATCAATAGGATTGGCAAACGTTACTTATCAGTTACTTTAGCGTTACTTTCTATAGTAAACAATTTGATGACGATATTGCAATTTTTTATGACGGTAACGCTAACTAACGCTGAGATTGTGAAATCTAAAGTTAGAAAAGTCATTTTGAAAAATAATTTGTCATCATTATGCGTTATTTACTAAAAAAAAGTAATAAATAATGAGTAACGAGTAACGCGTAACAAGTAACGCAAATAAAAAAGTAACGCGTTACAAATTAATGGAAAAAAGAGTTTTTTTTGTCAATAACTGTGAATGATTTTTCAATCCGTTACAAGTAATTATTAATTTTTTTAATTCTGATACCGTTACCGTTACCGTCATAAAACATTCACAGTGTCATTATCAAATAATTATTATAACAAGGTAATGATCAACAAAGTAACGACGTTACAAATAACGCGTTACTGCCAATCCTGTGTATTAATATTTAAATTTTATTGATCTAACAAATTACATTGCTCAATTACGTGGAAATTGATATACCTACAATTATATATCT